AAATCAACCATTTGGATGAGAATATTTTTTTAAAAAACTTGGGAAAAGCCAGAGGTAGAATTTTCATATTTATACATTGGAATCTTGCATAATCAGACGCACAGCTTTAGCAACTTTATTTGGCAGTTCAAATAACAGCAGCAGTATTTTGAAAAATGGACTAGGCTGACTGGGTTTTCCCCATCTGGGTTAAATAAAAACTTAAGGGGTAAAAAAGAGATACACAGCATTTTTGTCCATCCTCTTTATGGTCAATGAGTAATATCACTTAATTATGCAAAAGTCCACACTTCTGCCTTTTGGGGATTTTTTTCCCCCCAGATATAGAGGAGTCCAAAATCAGCAACTTTGAGGATCTAGGAGTGCCTGGCAGTTCCATTCTAGCAGCTGTTTTACAGTAATGCTTTGTTATGGTGAATCTGCCTTTCTCGTTTTATCTGATTTAGATTAAGCATGTTAGGAAGAGAATTCTGCTCAAGATCAGCATGTATGCAGAGAAAATTGAAGCTTTCTCCTCTAATCACTTCCATGGCAAAATTATCCCATTATCACCTGTAGAAAACAGATAAACTTATAAAAAGAAGCTGGGAAGAGGGTGTGAGGAGGATCTGGCTGCAAGAGTTGTCACCCCATTGATTGCCACTGTTGCTTTGGCTGGCTAGGAAGCCAGATCCCTTCCTCCCTCACTGCTCCATGTGCATCCCTTTTGATGCTGAACACTTGGTGGAAGGGGACAACCATCTCAGAAGAAGTGTATGATCTTTGGTATACAATAGCTGCGCTCCCCTGCTAGAAACTCCAAATGAGCTCAAACTGGGAAGAGAAAAATTGAGACCTTCACTACTGGAATGATAGTCTCTTGTCAAGATCTAGTCCTTGCACACAATGTATGCTACTTTTAAAAACAATTAAGACAGCCACATGTTTTTCCCCCAGGTGTGTGAATGTCTAGATTTTTTTAAAAAATCTAGTTTTGTATGCTATTTTATTGCATATCAAACATTTATCCATGCAACTGCTAGGAGTTGAGCCCAATTCTGTGGCACCTATTTCTATAACAATTGTAATATACTTTTCATGCTGCTGTTCTAGCTGTATTTTCTGAGGATTTCAATTGTATGCTGCCTCAATGGGTTGAAAAGCAGGGCATGAAATTAGGCCAATGAAATCTTCCCATCCATTCTTCCCATAAGCTTTAAACCTACCTATCAAGGAGGCTCATTTTAGGAGAGAAGCATTGTCTAGAGGCAGCAGCTATGCATCTTCCAGAATATCTATCCCTTGTCTTTTGCAAGGGCTGAAAATGTTGGAAATGGGACAACCTGAATAAGGCATTGTTGCTAGTAGTGTTTCATGTATAGTTTATGGAAAAAGGAATTAGATGGCTTTCATTTTTTTTCTTGTCTTGAAAATATTCAGTCTGTGTAGGCAAGTTTTCAGTGAACGTGAAATAATTCAGGATTATGCAGGGGACCAACAGAATCCCATAGGACTTTGGTAGAGTAATGTATAGGCTACAACATGACCAGTGTAGAAGAAAGGAAGCAAAATATCCCAAAATATCTAGCAAAAACACCTAGAGTGTCTCTAGGTGTTAGTTTGTCCTAGCATTAGCTTCATAATAAAGTTTGAATTTGAAAATGGATGTTAATGCTTTTAAATCTGTTGCATTATATATTTTGTAATTTAGCTTTATTATTGTAAGACACTTAGAGTGCTTATGTGTATAAGAAGTTGGAGTGAAAATTTGGAACTGGGTGAGAGATCAACCTATATGACTCTTATTATTGTTAAAAGGGGACTCCATGTTTCCTCCACAAATCTGGGCGCACAATTCTCCACAAATCTTCCAAAGAAACCTAGACTGCGTGTGGTCTGAAGATAACCATTCTCACAACATCTCTGTTCACAGATTTATCGCCTTGCTATCTGACTGCCTTTCCTTCCTCCCCCCACAATCCAATTGGTTTAGCTGGTTGCCAGTTTTCAAATGAAAAAGGCTCTTCAGCTGGATAGCAGGTGAGGAGAAAACCTAGTCAGTATTTCTACTCTCTTTATTTGTTGGAGTAAATCTCAAAGAAGTGATCAGGATCTTGTCTTCATTAGCTGGTTAGAGAGGAGCTGGCAAGAAGTAAGGAGAGATTACGCAAGCCTTTGAAGTGGCTATGGTGGTTCCAAAGGGTGGAGAGTGAGAAAGAGAATACTGTAAAGTGATCCTGAAAGGTGAGAGCTAGCAACACTATAATTGTTGAAGAAGGGTCAGGGAACCATTCCCCTTTGAGTCCAAAAACACCCACTCATTGGACCTCAGCTGACAAAAAGACCAATCAACAGGTGAAGAAAAGCATTTAAGATGCCTGAACCTCTGAAGGATGAAGAAAGCAGAGCATTGTGCTGAGGGAAAAGTGGTTTTGACAGAGAATTCCAGCTTAAGCATCCTGAGCGGTTGGGGTATCATACATCTGTGGTACAAAATTGGGGTTAACAAGGCACTCTGAGGCTCTAGTGATTTACTTGGGCATAAAAGGTCCGTTTCTGTTAAGAAGCTCCTAGCAAGCAGTACTGGAAATAGATAAACAGGAATACAGAGATGCATGGATTTTTGATAAGTATATTTATTGCAGAAAAGTTTATAAAGCTGTTACAGAAGATTTCCAGTAAACTTTGAATGTCAACGACAAGCTTTAATAATGAAATTGAGGTTTAAATCTTTGCATCTCTTTCTCTCTCTCTCTCTCTCTCACACACACACACACACAGGGAGGGGGTGTTTAGAGAGAGAGTTATGGGCATGAAGCTGTTCTTTTTTGGTTGGGAGGAACAATTTGCATCCAATCCTTGTGATGGTAACAGGTTGATCGTCCCCCTGGTTGTTTGCTTATGACCACATGAGGCCTTGTTCTCCCTGTTGAATTATGGGAACAGGGCTGTTAAAACTCTCCAGGTCATTGTAGTCCACTAACTGATAATCATAGACGAAATCAATGTGTACACACAAACAGTTTGAATGCTTCTTTCATTCAAAAGCTGCCTTCACACAACATTCTAGGCCATCTAGGCCATCTATTTAACATAGCTAACTCAACAAATCACATTTTATGTGGGAAAGTGCACTTTTTTATCCGTTAGAAGGGAATGCAGTGAAATCATTTTACCTTAAGCTTAACAGGAAAGTGGAGGGGCAGCATTAATATTTCCAAAATTGGGAGTGGCTAAGCCATAATTAACAAACCAGAGTGGCTGGTAACTCTATCCTAAGCCATGCAAACTACAGTTTGCCTTAATGTGTAACTTTAAACTAGCTGCACATCTAGTGCAGCTAGTTTAAAGCTGCACATTAAACTTAGATTTGCCAAGTTTAAATTCTAGTCTCTGGCAGATGTTCCTTTGGAAGACCGAATATAATTCTACCATTAATGATAATATGCTCCATAAACTATTTGTGCTCCAGAGAATTTGTTATTGTAGTCATATGTACCAGGAAAATATTTCTGTATATCTGTGAGGAACAATGGTCTTGGAGGCCAGGCTACTGTTGAATTGCAACAGGGCAATGTTGAATTGCAACACTTTGGTTTTGCTCAGTCAAGTGAATGGTAGTGTCTTTACCTCTCCTTTGGCCATGGTGACCAGAGAAAGTATCTAAACATCTCTAAGTGACAATGTCACATTTCTTTATTTGCATTTATTTGCATTGCTTGTAACGTTTCAAAGGGCCTTTCTCCACTGCTGTTAGGAAATTTATTCACCAAGCCTTGAGTCAGCAGAAAACGATACCAGCTTGAAATTAATGAAAGTTGCTGCCACCATTGGTGTATCCTATTCTGCCTCTATGGCTCATCCCTACTCATTAGTAGCAATCTCACCTTCCTCCAAGTTAAGGAGTATCAAAGCCAAGCAGATTTCCCACATTTTGAGACTGCCCTCAATACCAGGAGAGTTAAGGGAAACTTCTTGTTTTGCTCATGAACCGGGGAGACAGTCTCACAGAGGAGACAGCCACACAGAGAGGAGGTAGAAAAACTATGTTGCTAAGACATGAGTTATATTTTAGGCCAGATCCATCTATAAATTTACCCATACAGGAAATACATGACAGCAGAAGATTCTTGGACTCAATAGTGTTAGATAAGTTGCTTCACGGTGGCACAGTGGTTAGAGTGCAGTACTTCTGCTGATTGCTGGCTGACTGCAATTTGGCAGTTCAAATCTCACCAAACTCAAGGTTGACTCAGCCTTCCATCCTTCCGAGGTGCGTAAAATGAGGACCCAGATTGTTGGGGGCAATAGGCTGACTCTGTAAACCACTTAGAGAGGGCTGTGAAGCACTGTGAAACGGTATATGAGTGCTATTGCTATTGCTATTCATGACAAAAAAGTAGTCATATAGACAGGGCTGTCTTAACGCATTGGTCCTAATGGGCACTTGCTCATGGGCTCCACAAGCATAGGGGCCCCATATTAATCTGCGTATGTTAACCCTTCAATGCACCTTGTATCATATAAATACAGCAACTCTATGGCTTACTGAGTATTATTGTGTTTTTCAAGCCTCATGTATTGTTCAAATGTTTATTATACTGATTAGTTGTTGCTGCACAGCATGTTTTTAAAGTTTCAACGCCAATTTTATTGGAAGTGCCAATAAAATAAATATATGTTTAATTTTATCAACCATTTACATTTTTATTCCTGTGAGTAGTTGTCATAGGGGCCCCAGTACACTGCTTTGCCCGGGGCCCATAATGCTGTTAAGACGGCCCTGCATATAGACACAGAAGAGCTTCCTGTTGCAGAAGACAGAAATCAAGAGGCACAAAAATATCAGCACTGGGTTTATGTCTCCTGCTTATAGACCTGGATCAATAAATTTAGAGCAGTTCTTTCCCCAGCTTTGCAATTGATATACCCTATTCTAGATAGTTTTGCATAGTCTTAGCAGCAAAGTTTATCACACATGACATTCCCTGCCATAAATAATTGTTCTTGACATGTTGTGATTTATTGATAACTTGCTTTAATGTTTATTAATTACAAAAAATACGTTATTTCTGAGTCTGTGTTATGGCATGTTCTCTCTGCTGTTAATGAAACTAATACACAAATCTTTTTGAGATGTTTTATTTACTTATCTTTAGTTTATATTACTAAGCAACTAAAGATTTGATAGAGGTGGTATCAATAGAAGCTGTTAGTTAAACCAATAATTGTCTATTTTGCAAGAGGATAAAGGGCTCCCTCACTTATTGCAAAAATAAATGAAACAAGGGTGCCATTTTCTACAAAAAAAAATGGTAGCTGTCTTTTGGTTCCTACAATATGGCTGCATGTAGAGGCAGATTCTGGAGCCAGATGCTAAAAATGTATTCACATTCACAAAATTATATAGTGTGCAATCATTTCCTATCTCAGAGTCCCCACTGATACTAGAAAGAACCTCAAAGAAACTTTTGAGCCAAGAGGATGAGGGAATGGGAAGAAATAACATTTCCTTTTCCTATTCAGAAATCTTTCACTTTTCCTGAAAACTTTCTCTTTGCTGACGGCATTGGAGAATGAGAAGAGAAATGACGGGCAAGAGGAATTATTCCCCCCTCTCCCATCCAATAAAAGAAGCAACTATACATTTATTTGGTATCAAAGAAAAGAGGACAGGGCAGCAAGAACAGCAGAAAGATAATGAGAAGTATGTATTTCCATGCATGCATGGAATCATAATTTAGTTTACACTTCTTCAGTAGGCTAATGAGAAACCTGCATGGACACCCAATCCTTCCCAACAATGCCCTTGATCCAATCCAAGTAATTGATTATTTTGGTATAAAAGCCATATCCTTTGCCACACTCAAGGCCCCAAGAAACAATGCCTGTGGCCACCCAATGCTGAGTCTCTGGGTCACGCACAGCTAAGGCCCCTCCACTGTCACCCTGACAGGTGTCTTTTCCTCCGTAGGGGGTACCAGCACAAAACATGTTATCTGAGAAGACTGGATCCTTCTTAGAAATCTTCTTTCCTTTCAACCACTTCCGACACAAATCCTGGTTGCCCACGGGGATGGGAGCGTACTTCAGCCTGCTAGCAAGGATGTTTTTTTCTACCCCAAAGCCACTGGCATAGCCCATCCAACCTGTATGGTAATAGGTGGTGTTTCCTGACTCAGGGAGACAGATAGGCAGCATGTCTTGGCCAAGGGTCACCGGATCTCTCAACTCAATGAGTGCAATGTCTCCGTCAAAGTTATGCTCATCCTTTGGATTGTAATCCGGATGCACAAAGAGTCTGAGAACTGGTTTATTGCCTTCTTTGTACAGTTCAGTCACATCTGTGTGACCCAGGAAGATTTCAGCCTTCTCTGCCACCTGCACAGGGGTCAGTATCTCTGTGTCATTCCCTTTCCCTTTTGGGTACACAACGTGGGCAGCTGTCAGGATCCAGCGATCACCTAGCAGTGCCCCTCCTGCTCGTCCAGCGATGACAGTCATAGCTTGCCATGGGAAACTGCCTCGTGGGGCATCCTTCCCACCAATAATTCGCTGGACTTCCACGACTGGGTTGTCTGGCTTTCCACATACTGTGAAAAGAGAGAGAATACTCAAAAAGGCTGCAGCACCCTCATCTCCCTGCCCTCTTGACCCCGCACCCCAGCAAACTTTATTTATTTGTACACCTTATCTTTGCTTAAGTCACATCAGAGCCAGCCTCTTAATCATCTTCTTCTTTACTTCTTATTGTTAATTAATTTTCTGCTGTCCCCTCTTCGTGCTAAAAATGTTGGATATCAATACCTCTCTCATTATACTACCAGAAGAGGAAACAGAAGGTAATTTAACAGACAGGATCCTTCAACACTTGGCAATGACAGCCACCAGAACCAGGCACCTGCCAACTGAAACTAATTTCAGGGCTGGATCCAGAATTCCATCTCATTCTAGTAGGTCAAATACCAATGGAGGTGGACATGATGCCTGCTTCCTCTCTGGCTCTTCTGGTACTAGGACTTGCTAGTCTTCTGGTGCCAGCACCAGCTTTTGAGAAGAGGTGAATCGTGCTATAATAATATATGAAACAAGAAAATCTTTGGCTATGATTTACCTGGCAGACACATTGGGATGTCATCATGATTAACTTGATCCTTCCAGGAACCCTCAGCTGAGCAGGTGTAGATACCTAAAGGAGAAACAAAAACAAGAATAGTGGGGCCGAAGATTGAATGCTCAATGGTTTTTTATTATTTATTTTTGAACATTTTATTGGTTTTTTAAAAAAACCATGGATATTTTATGTTCTATTTTTGTGTATCTGAACATCTTACAAGTGCAATGAGATTGAAATCATTCAGTCACTCACTCAAATAAACAAAAAAATGCATTTATTACATTTAATGTGTTTTAATGCCAAGTACTCTAGCCCACAATGAATCCATCAAGGTTGGGCAGCTAAAACCAATTAAAATAAATAAAATAAATGGATTTTTTTTCAACCCCCAAGCATTTGGTAAAGAAGATACACATACAAAAGCAAGGAAATTGCTTGGCTGCTGGTTTGTCAAGTTTCCCATGCAATGCTGCAGCTTGCACTGGGTTTGCATTGATCTGGCAATGCATGGCCTCACCTTTTCCTGGGGTGTTGAGCAGGCGATAATAGGGTTCATTACAGCGGTACTTGATAACTGACTCATAGTTGTTATTTTTTGTTGCCGATACAAAATTAAATTCCCCGTTTTTCAGAAATTTAGGTTTACCGCAATTCACAACTGCAAGACACAAACACATAAAATGAAGAGAAGAGAGTACAGTATTTCCTTCTGGGATTTTCCAGGGATCAGAAATTATCACAACCCAAAACCGGCACTCTCATAGGAATTATTCATTTCTTTCCCAGGTTGTGATTAATAGTATGTCATGTCTCAAATCTTGTCCTAACAGAACAATTTTTAGGTCTTCTTTAGTGAAGAAGATAAAAAGTTTGTGTGTGGGACATACCCTGTTTCCTCTAAAATAAGACATCCCCTAATAATAAGCCCAATCGGGCTTTTGAGTGCATGCACTAAAATAAGCCCCCCTGAAAATAAGCCCTCCCCGAAAATAAGGCCAAGCGCTTATTTCAGGGTTCAAAAAATATAAGACAGGGTCTTATTTTCAGGGTAGCAGTAGCAATCACTAGTTTGGTTGTTTTTTAAATGAGAAGCAAAGGAGAGGACTAGCTTTTCCCCCTGCTATTAGTTATCTGAAAAGCATTTCCATATAAAGAACTGCTTTTTTATGCACAGACAAAAAGACCCCAAATCCTTAAGACAATTTAGAGAGACGTTTAGAAGGGAAACAGAAAGAGATAAAAGAAAGCCATTGCAGGATTGTCAGATCAAATGTTGGCAGCATGTCAGAAAATAAAGAGCATAAACCTAAGAGCCAGATTCCACAATTTAGGATACTTTCCTTGTTTGCGCAATTGCAGTAAAAACATCCCAGCAAACTCTCCTCCCCTTTTTTTGGCTGCTTCCTCGTGATGTTGCTTTCATCTGATTGCTACCTTAGCCACATCTGTGCTAAAATAGCAATTTTTTAAAAAAAATCTTATCTCAGGATAGGTTTTGCCATGGATAGAATCTGATGGGTTTCATTGACCATTCTGTTGGCAGCAGAGCCGGGTGACTCCTGGGGAGAGATTAGCTACAGAGGCATTTAATGGTTTTTGTGAATCTGCCACCTCTCCAATTTCTGGGCATTATCTTTTACAGCCCTTCTTTTAATTTTTTTTTCATTTAAGAATTAGAGAGACTAATTCTTTTAAATTGGATTCTCCCCCTACCCCCTGGCAAACATACATTGGGGCTCTGGGCTGAACTCAGCTTGGAGACATGGATCAGCTGAACAAAAGCTGACAAATGAAGGTGTTCCTGTTAGTTATGGTTTACATCAGGGATCTCCAACCTTGACAACTTTAAGCCTGGCAGACTTCAACTCCCAGAATTCCCCAGCAGCTTTGCTGGCTTTAGATTACTTTTAAATATGACTTGGCATGATTATTAAATGGTGCTAAAAGTCCAAGAGGAGCTTGATTATCAGCTGATGTCAACTAATAATCAGGTTTCCTTCAATACACTTTTGCAAAATCAGAATGAGTTTTGAAAAATGGCTAAGCTTCCCTGTTTAACCATAGGTCAAAACATGCCGCCATCCCTGTCTCGGCTCTACCACCAATAAGAGAGGGTGATTGCCAGACATTTTATAGGCAGGGTAACATTTGATAGGAGCAGAAGGAAACAAAGCCAGGAGAATCCAGCAATCATTCTCTGAGGCAGGCCCCATATACCATAAATAAGAACTGCTCCAGGACAAGGACAGACAATGAAGGCAGGGCAGAAAGCTTAATGTTGGTATATTGTTCTGGCTTGAAATTGGTGAATAACTATGCTACTTATTGCCCAGTATAGATCAGATGAACACAGTGGACTATCTTGTGGACAGAGGCAGCAAAATGCTTCTCACTGCCATGGACAATGAAGATTCCCAGCTCCAGCCCTTCAACAGCAGGAGTCATGAAAAAGGTCACCAGAATTTGGGGAACTTGAATCTGCTTAGGTAGTTTTGCAGGCAACAGATAGGAAAGGCTAACGACTCACTTTCACATCGGGGCATAGAACGATGCCAGGTCCCATCATGTTGGCAGACAGAAGTAAAGGATGTCAAGTGTTCTTTACCCTGTTCAAATGAAAAATAGCTGACAGTCAATTTAATACCTTTGTTGATATCCCTAGCTTGCTATCATGCTTTTTGTCTTTTTCCATCTATAGCCGTGATGGTGAACCTATGGCACGTGTGCCCAAAGTGGCACATGAAGCCATGTTGTCCGGCACATGCAGCTTTGCCTTTGTCCTCTCGGTTTCTGACGTGCATGTGTGCGATGATGGCCTAACTTGGCCTAACTTCCCTTTTAATTGTAATTTTTAAAATTGGTTTTAAAACATTAGGGGTGTTTTAAATTGTTTTGGGCCAAATTATTTAATGGGTTTTTATATTGTCTTTTAAATTTTGTAGTTTGTGTGTTTTATCTTTCTGGCTGTTCGCTGCCCTGAGTCCTTCGGGAGTAGGGCGGTATATAAATCTAATAAAATGAAAATGAAATGAAATGAAATGATCAGCTGTCCTTTATGCGCAGCGATGCCAAAAACCGGTATGCGCGTGCGTGCTGGCCAGCTGATTGTCAGATGCGCATGCATGCCAGAACCCAGAACTTTGGCTTTTCTGGAGCGCGATCCCTTCGTGCGAATGGCAGTGCCGAAAACCAGTGTGCACATGTGTGCCAGCCAGCTGATTGTTGGGTGCACATGTGCACCAGAACCTGGAAGTTTGGCTTTTCCAGAGTGCGATCCCTTTGCATGCATGGCAGTGCCAAAAAACGGTGTGCACGTGCATGCCAGCCAGCTGGTCATCAGGTGCGCATGTGTGCTAGAACCCGGAAGTTCAACTTTCTCAGAGCATGCCTCTGATGAGCATGTGCATGCACACACGCGACATTTCCGCACAACCTTTTTGGCACTCGCCACCACTGATCTATAGTCTGGCTGACTGAAGTTCAGATCAGACAAGAGATGCCACCTTAAGACAATTTGTTTGGCAGCGGCAGATGGGATAGGCTGTACATGGCATTTTATCTTAGCCTTTCTCTTCATTGGAATCCGTGGTAGGGAAGAAGAAAAGCTTTCTCTTCCAAAAAATGTAAGAAGGATCCCTCACCCAGGTTACTGACACCATTCTGGGATTGACAACATTGCCAAAACCAAAGCAATCCATCTTCATACCTCTGACCTCCGTCCCCCCCATATAATTATTGCTCTAAATTATTGCAAGTCTTCAGAAACCTCATGAAAACAAGTTTTCAGGCTTTGGTTTTTCTGCATGAAAAAATACCTCCATTATAAAGACTGAAAAGGATCAATTGTTGTCATTAGTTTTAGACTGAACATGCTATTGGACAGAATAGTGATTGCACATTTATACCAGTTGGAGATTTCTTTTTAATTAAAATCTGGGGCTCTGGGGTAACAAATGTAATCCTACAAGCAAATAAACTAGGGGACGCTTACTGGTTAATATATAACTGGTTAGAGTTATTTAGTAGTGGGAAAACATGAGAAAAACTTGCAGTTGTAAATTTGGTGCTAGTAGAATTGAGTTCTGACCTTCAAAGCAGCTTCTAGAGCTGAGTTCCAAATTAATGTTTTCTTTCTCTCTCACTCTTACACTTTCGGTTTCTCCAATTTCTTGCCTCTGCTTTAGTAACTATTCAAAAATTGCGCAATTGACAACTCTCTGTCTTTAATCAAAAATTCAAGCACAGTTTGACCTCCTTCTTTTGTCTGGGGAAGATACGTATTTTGTTTTTTTCATGCCTTGGCACATATCTTAGTTTGCTTCCATGAACAAAAGTAGAAGATATAGAAAGAAAGAAAAGCTTTTAGAAGAAGCAAAAAGGAGATCACTTAGATCAAGGTCATTGCAAGAAAAAGGCTTATAAGAGGTAACATAATAAAGCACTCAAATGAATAAGGCCCACCTCCATCAAGTTATATCCAGTTTTGCAGCTGACAATGAAGTAATCTTGGTATTGATACAGGGGCTGTGGGTCCTTGATGATGGTGAAGACATCATTTGGCACAGGCTGCGGGCAACGGATTCCTATTGGAGATGAGAAAGAAATGAAAGAAGCAGCAGCAGACAGGTCATTCATTACCTTTTAACTTAAAAATATTTGATGGGAGTAATTACTTTCTATACTGTACGAAATCTTCCACCCTCGGCTGTATCCTGATTCGTCTGTGAGAAAAATGACATCCACTGAAGAACTATTGGTTTCAACCATCCCTGGAGGCTTTCTGCCACAGAATTCACCAATCTGTTTCGTGCCAGCATGGATCTAGTAAGAAATTGAGGTTTTAGAAATGAATGTTCTATCAGTCAGAAGAAAATGTTACATAAAATGGGAAAGAAACTTTATTGGGAAATTTGGCTAAAAGCTTCCATCTTGGTATGATCAAAAGCTCATTAGAATGAGAAAGTCCTCGGAGAATGGGCGGCATAGAAATAGGAATAATAATAATTAAAAAAAAAAAGAATGAGAAAGGCTTTCCAAAGTGACTTGTACCAAAATTCAGAGTGTGGTTTTTCTACGTGGTTATTAGAATTGCATTTTTAAACCTGTTTTGAATGTTTCTATTAAAATCAACCAACCAACTCATCACTCAAAAGATTCTACCCATAGGTTCAAATTTAATTTCTCACTACTACAAATAAGGTGGAACTTATGGCAAAGACATTTAAATGTTGTTGAAATAGTTCTCTTTTTGCTTGTTTTGATGGATTTTCCATAATTATTTCTTTATTTAATTTCTACAGCCACCCATCTCAATCCAGTGTCTCTTGCTTTTTCATTTCAGTTGTTTTATATAATTATTTGACTTTTTCTTGCAATTATATTTTTATATTGACTTTTTTTATTGAAAAGTTTTATGAAAAATACAAACATTTTCACCCCCCCCACCCTTCCCCCCTCAACCCCACCCTCCCCTTCCCTCCCTCCCTTCCCCTCCCTCCCCCCATCCCCCTCCCTAGACTTCCCAGAATGAGCACAGGGTATAGCATTCACAAACCAAAAACTAAAATGTGCTAACTAATTATTACATTTCATATTCTCCCTAGGTCCTTAACTCCTTATAACTCAGAAAAAACAAACATAAACTACTTAATATTATTTCATTCATAAGCTCTATGAATCTTCTTATTTGGATACTTCTTCTGTATGTAATCAATCCATTTTCTCCATTCCGATATATATCTCTCATTTGAATAGTCTTTAAGGTATGATGAAATTTTTGCCATCTCTGCCAAATGCACCACTTTTAGTGTCCATTCCACAATGGTGGGTGGATCTTCCTTCTTCCAGTACTGTGCCACCAGTAACCTGGCAGCCGTTATTAAGTTCAAAACCAGCTTAGTCTCTATTACAGTACAATCCGTAACTATTCCCAACAGAAAAAACTGTGGTGTAAATTTAATTTTTTTCTTCAAAATATTTTGAATAATCCACCATATTTTTATCCAAAAAGCCTTAATCTTTTTACATGTCCACCATATATAAAAATATGTAGCATCTTCACACTCACATCGCCAACACTTGGGTTGTAAATTTGAATACATACAAGCTAGTTTTTTTGGATCTAAATGCCATCTATAAAACATTTTGTAAAAATTCTCCCTTAGATTTTGTGCTTGTGTAAATCTTACATTTCTAACCCATATCTTTTCCCATGTTTCCATCATTATTGGTTCACCTACATTTTGTGCCCATTTTATCATACAATCCTTGACTAAATCTGTTTCTGAATCTATTTCCAGTAATGCATTGTACAACCTTTTTATATGCATTTGACCTTCATCTCTTATTTGCTTTATCAAATTCTCATCCTGCTGCAAAATACCAATTTTTTGATCTTCTCTCCATCTGGCCAGCAGCTGTCCATATTGAAACCAAGTCCTAATAATCCCTTCTTCTCTTAGTTGTTCCATGGATTTTAACTGTAATCTGACTCCTTCCTTATAAAGGAGTTCCTTATATGTAATCTTATCTTGCTTTTGCTCTAAATTTATGTTCTCTATCGCGTGTCTGGGTACTGTCCATATTGGTAACCTATCATTTAGTTTATATTTATACTTTTTCCAGACACGCAATAGAGCATTTCTTAATATATGACTTTTAAAAGTCTTATCTACTTTCTTATCATACACTAAGTAAGCATGCCAGCCATAAACCAAACCATATCCTTCAATATTCAATATCTTTTCCTCCGTTAAGTTTATCCAATCTGTGATTGCTGAGAGGGCAGCAGCTTCATAATACAATCTTAAATTGGGCATCTTAAGACCACCTCTTTCTCTAGTATCTTGCAATATCTTTTGTTTGACTCGTGGTTTCTTCCCTGCCCACACAAATTTATTTATGCCCTTCTGCCATTCCTTCAAGTTTTCATCTTTTTTAAGTATAGGTATCATTTGAAAAAGAAATAGAAATTTTGGTAAAATATTCATTTTTACAGCGGCTATCCTTCCCAGCAAAGACAGTTTTTTCCAATTGTCCAACTCTTTCTGTATTTTGTGCCATAATGGTTCATAGTTGTACTGATATAATTTCGTATTTGCAGTCATAATATAGACCCCCAGATATTTAACCTTCTTAACTACTTCAAATCCTGTTAACCTTTCTATCTCTTCTTTTTGGCTCCTAACCATATTTTTAGCTATTATTTTTGTTTTAGCTGCATTTATTTTAAAACCAGATACTTGTCCATATAAGCAGGTTATATCCATCAAGGCTGTAATCGATTGTACCGGTTGGGTTAAGGTAACAACCAGGTCATCCACAAATGCTCGTACCTTGTACTCATGCTGTCTAATTTTAATTCCCTTTATTGTATTCATCTCGCGTATCTTGTTTAATAAAATTTCCAGCGTCAAAATAAACAATAACGGGGGCAAAAGATAGCCTTGCCTTGTTCCTTTTTCTATGTTAAAAGCATCTGTTAAACCACCATTAACTATTATTTGCGCTGTTTGTTTTTGATATATTGCCTTAATAGATTGTACAAATTGTTCTCCAAATTGCATCCTTTCTATTAGTTTTAGTAAAAATTGCCAATTCAATCTATCAAAGGCTTTCTCAGCATCCAAGAACACAAGCACTGCGGGGACCTGGTTGTTCCTTCCCAAATACTCTAATAAGTTAACAATTTGCCTTACATTACTCTTCATTTGTCTACCATTTATAAAACCAGTTTGATCATGGTGAATCATTTCTTGCATGACTGTCATTAATCTATTTGCCAAAATTTTAGCAAATATCTTATAGTCTGTATTTAATAATGAAATTGGCCTATAATTTTTAGGATCTGTATCATCATGCCCTTCTTTTGGGATCAACGAGATAAATGCTGTCTTCCAAGTTGGAGGTACCTCTCCTCCCTGTTGTATATTGTTAAATAATTCTTTCAACGGTTCTATAATTTCCTCCTGTAGGGTTTTATAGTAAATAGCCATCAAACCGTCCGTCCCAGGAGCTTTACCCACTTTCAACTGCTTAATTGCTAATGCAATTTCCTCGGAAGTTATCAATTGATTTAAACTATCCCTCTGCTCATTTGAAATTGTATAAATATTCTCTTTCTGCAAATATCTATCTATATCTATATCTTTAATTTTATCATCAGTATACAGCCTCGAATAAAACTCAATTGTTGCTCATAAACCTCTTTACCCTTATATTTTATTCTCTCTATTGTCCTTGATTTTTGCTTTTTCCTTAACAAATATGCTAACCACCTGCCTGGTTTATTGGCATTGTAAAAAGTATTATGTTTTGCATATCTTAAATTAGTTGCCACTTGATCTGCTATTAACATATTAAATTGACCTTTCAATAAATTGATTGCCTCTTTGATTTTCTTATCTGTTGGATTAGCTACTAAAGCCCGTTCCTGTTTACTAATCTCATCTTCTAATTCTTTTCTTTTTGTCCCCTGTTTCTTTCTATATTTATTATTCAAATATATCAAAATTCCTTGCATATATGCCTTACTTGCATCCCATACCATTTCCATCGATGTGCCCTTTTGCATATTCATAACAAAAAATTCTTTCATAAATTTTTTACACTCTTTTACATTTTCTTCATACCTAAACAAATTATCATTTAACCTCCAGGACCTCCTAGGCCCTTTCTCATACTCCAATTCCAGCCAAACTGGACTATGGCCTGTCAATGTTCTTGAGCAAATCTTAGTATTTTTCACCCTAGATAAAAGATCATTAGTAGTTAATATAAAATCAATCCTTGAAAAGGATTGATGTCTATCTGAAAAAAAAGTAAAATCTTTTTCTTCCGGGTTTCTTTCACGCCAAATATCTCTCAACTCCCAGTCATCCATCGTTTCCCAAAACACTTTGGGCAATTTTGCTCTTGTTAACATATTTTGTTTAGGTCCTTTCTTGTCTTTTTTAACGTCCAAAACACCATTCCAGTCGCCTAACAGGATACAAGTTTTATATGCCCACTGTGTCAATTTTGAGTGTAGTAAATTATAAAAATTTTCTTGTTGTTGATTCGGGGCATAAACTCCGATTACAAGTATTTTTTCTCCTTTTATTAAAAGTTCTATCGCTAAAAATCTTCCTTGATCGTCTGCTTCAATTAATTTAACAACTAAGTATCTTTTCAAATATATAACTATAACATTTTTCTTTTCTGGTGCTGCTGCTACGTAAGATGTACCAAGTCTTGGATTAATCAAATATTTTTGATCTTGTATTCTTATGAGTCTCTTGTAAGCAAATTACTTCATTCTTAAATTGCTTGAGATAGTGAAATATTTTTCTTCTTTTCTGTGGAGAATTCAAGCCGTTAACGTTCCAAGTCAAAAATCTAGTTCCCATCTCTGGGCCTTTGGAGCCTCTGAAGCAAGTCCTGATGCTCTGATCTCATTTGACTTTTAGGTCTTGCTCCCCCCACTGCTCCTGTTTTAGTAGTATCTTGGATCATTTCTTGAGTTGCCATCTGGGATTGTTGCTGTCTTAATTCTTCCTTGAGTCTAGCTGTCACCGATCTGGTCTGTCTTTGATCCTTTGGTAACTGCAATAAATCAATCAGCGCCAACTCTTGAGTAGCCATTTGGATTTGTAATATTTCTTCTTGATCAGCCAAAGCTCCCCCCTGAACTACTGTCAAGAGCTCTTCTGTCTCAGCTTCCATTACTTCTTTCTTTCTTTTGCCTTCTGGTGATTTAGTTGATTTGGGTGTGCCAGCCTTTAATACATTAGTATAAAAATCTCTTGCTTTCCAAATTGTATTAAGCCGATATCTCTCTCCTGAGTAAGTCACCACTAGTCCAGTTGGCACCTCCCATCTGTACTGTATCTGGCATTTTCTCAGTTCATCCACCAGAAAAGCATACTCCCTTCTAGCTCTCAAGATCTTAGGGGGGATTTCTTTCATTGTCATTACTTCCTGGCCTTCCACCCGAAGCTTGTTTTTAAAAGTAGCCTGTAAAATTTCGTTACGTACTCTCCTTGTAGTAAAGTATATCACAATGTCTCTTGGTAGATGTTTCTGTCTAGCAATCCAGGAATTAACGCAGTACAGCTTGTCAATCTGCCAGCTCTGATCATTTTTTGACTCCCCCACCAGCGGTGCCAATGCTTCTGACATCATTTCTTTCAAATTCTCTTGTTTATTCTCCTTCACCCCTCTGAATCTTAAAGCAAATTCCATGTCTCTGTATTGTATCATTGTTACATCATCTTCAGCCCTTTGAATTCTGTTTTGAGCTTCTCCTATTTTACTATCCAAAATTTCAGAAGATTGTTTAATTTCCTCAACTCTGTCATCCACCATTTCAATATTGCCTGCCAGACACTTAAATGCCATTAATATATCATCCCTAATCCCCTGATTGCGAATTGCAATCTCATCTGACAAAGCCTGTATCTTTTCATTAGTTTCTTTAATTTTTTCATTAGTTTCCTTAATTTTTTCATCAATCACATCAACAATTTTATTTTGGGTGACTTGGAGGGCTTGTTGCAACATCTCCAACATTAAGGTCTGTGGATCCACTGGAGGAGCAGGAACTTGTAATCTAGGAATATGAGCTGGGGAGCTACCAGCACTCCCAGTTCCTTTAGTAGGAACAGTTTTTACAGACTTTGAGGCCATTTCCAGTTTGAAATTAGTCTTTATATTTAATCAGAGCCAAAAAGAAGAGTTCCTCAAAAGATTTCCCAATATTAATTAACGTTTAAAATCCTCCTTCTGTCAGCACAAAAGCTTTTTTTTTTCCAGGCGAAGGGCTGCCAGCAAAACGAAACTTTTCCTGTAACTTTCCATTTCCCCCGCCCTTTCAAGCTTCAATCGCCATATTGTTGCAAAGTACTAAGTGATTACTTACGAAGGAGGCTCTAGGCATTGGAGTTAGGTAAAAAATACTTGCAGTCTGATTTCTCCTTGCTCGTTCCGCCTGCTGTTGGTTCAAGATGTTAATTCCCTCATTTCCATTCAGCAAGATTGGTCGCGGCTTCTAATTCCGCTAATTAGCGGAGATGTCCTTGGTCTGGAGCGGCTTGACAGGCTTTCAGGGAGCGTGCGCCCTTCGCGCCCCAGGATCTTTCCTAGGGCGTTCGGGGGGGCTCTACCTCCACCTGCCTGCTCTTCTCTCTCCCCTTTGCCCGGGGAGAGAATTTCAAGCCTCCAGACAGCGTTTGTCAGCTGTTCTGGGGCTTTAACGGAGCCAGGGAATGGACGCTCTCAAAAGAACGTCTTTCGAGGCTCGCGGAGCCAAGCGGAAGTCAATATTTTTATATTGACTTTTGATTTCATTGTTACTTGCTGCATTTTAATATTTCATTTAATTTAATGTTTTGAATTTATTTGTTTATTTTTTGTGTCACTTAAACATACTTTTAAATATTAAAATAATGTAATAAATAAATAATTCAGTAATAAACATATATACATAATTATTAAGGCAAAATGATTGAATAAATGTTCATATTAGGGGCTGCAGGGAAAGCCTCTCTGTATATAGGAACAAAAGTATTTTGACAATAGTGTGAAGTGAGCAGCAAAATCAGAGGAAGAAGCAGAAGGTGCCCAATTTGGTAGCCTTTTGAGATTTTTCCCTGAGGATCAGCTATAGGACAGTGTGCTGCTTGCTATAGAATAGAATAGAATAGAATAGAATAGAATAGAATAGAATAGAATAGGTACCTTGGAGGTCATCTAGTCCAGCCCCCGGCTCAGGAGAACCTATACCATCTCAAACAAGCAACTGTCCAGTCTCTTCTTAAAGATTTTCAGTGATGGAGCGCCCATGATTTCTGAAGGCAAGCTGTTCCACTGATTAATTGCCCTTATCGCTAGGAAGTTTCTCCTTAATTCCAGGTTGCTTCTCTCTTTGATCAGTTTCCATCCATTATTTCTTGTCCTGCCTTCTGGTGCTTTGGAGAATAATTTGATCCCCTCTTCTTTGTGGCAGCCCCTCAAATACTGGAATACTGCTATCATGCCACCCCTAATTCTTTGTAACAACGGAAGCACTTGGTGTGTAAATGGAGATTCTCAGTCATCCAGGTCATGGTTGTCCCAAATGTACTTTTTCAAGAGGCAACTGGACTTTCTGGTTTTTCTTTGAAGGCATTTCACTTCTCATCCAAGAAGCTTCCTCAGCTGAAGAAGCTTATTGGATGCGAAGCGAAATGTCTTCAAAGAAAAACCAGAAAGTCTAGTTGCCTTTTGAAAAAGCACCTTTGGGACACTTGGTGTGTACTTGTGCTCTACTTGTACACTTGTAATACATAAAATATTACAAGAGTCATTTGGTCTATAATAGGCATTTCAGAAGAAGCCAAGCTCCCTGGAACAACTCACCCTATTTACAGTAGAGTTTACTTTAAAATGTAAATGGAAGAAGGTGACTATTTGGACAATATTCCGGCTATTTACACAGATCTTTCTTAGGAGAAACCCAAACATTTTCATTCCACAATGAGAACCTAATACTTGAGGGACAGACTCCAGTGATCCTTGAAGCTTCCCTATTCCTGATTTATCAAGGTTGAACCAAGTACTGAATGGCAACACCAGTTAGGAATTTATCAATCTGCAGTACCTTAAGCTGGTCATAAGGGCAGCGGACTTGTTGGTGGTCATCAATTTCAAAGGGTTGCAAGAACTTGAGGATAATGGTCATCCCTTTCTCTACCCGTATGCTGTAGTTACACTGCAAGTTAGGTGGATAGGGCTCAGGGTATCCAGGGCTTGACAAATACCCAGAGGTTTCTGTGAACAGTTCATTGCTGCAATCCACTGTAGAGCAAGAAAAGAAGATTCACTGGAAGGAAAATTCATATCAATTCATCTGCAGGGCAGCAGGTGGCATATTTCTGGGATCTATTTCTCATTGCAAACCTGGAATAGCACCTTGATGGCACTGCTGCTAGAAGACTAGCAGGGGTGGTATTCAGCAGGTTCCGACCAGTTCTGGAGAACCGGTAGCGGAAATTTTGAGTAGTTCGGAGAACCGGTAAATACCACCTCTGACTGGCCCCGCCCCCATCTATTCTCTGCCTCCCGAGTCCCAGCTGATTGGGAGGAAATGGGGATTTTGCGGTAACCTTCCCCTGGAGTGGGGAGGGAATGGAGATTTTACAGTATCCTTCCCCTGCCACGCCCACCAAGCCACGCCCACCAAGCCACACCCACAGAACCGGTAGTAAAAAAATTTGAATCCCACCACTATAGACTAGGTGAGAAATCAGAAACCCCAGGGATTGATTACAGGAACATTGGTTTACTATTGTAAGGTGTAATAGCAGAATCTTAAAGCCATTCAGAGATTTCCTTTGCTGCTTCTCATACAAAAAGGGAATCTAGGCAGGGTTGTTCTGAATTTCATTTTCATATTTTCTCCTCTCCTTTCCCAGAACTAAATTGTCACTTCTCTGTTAATGACATCTGCAAACTTCCTCAATGTTATCTTGCATTCTTCCACATTGGTATTCTTCTGGGTATGATCTCCCTGTTCTCTCTGGTATTCTGCTTTCTTGGGTGATCATGTGGTCTTACCTTTGCAAGAATACCCATCACTCTGGAGTTGGTAGCCAGGCTGGCAAGAGCAGAAGTAGCCCCCTATATAGTTGTGACAGAAATGCTGGCACTGAGGACCATCTTCAATGTCATTTCTGGAGGCACACTCATCTAGATCTAGAGGATGAGATGAAAGCAGAGAAAACAATAGTTTACAGGTTTTTATTAATTTTGCATTCAAGCTCGGGTTATTCTTTTGCTCTTAAGCAGAAAAACATTCTCAAGGCAGCTGCTTCCAGGAAATCCTAGTCCTCCTACTTATGATATGTACTTATTGTACATCTGCTGGCTCATATGTGCTGCACCACAGCTGGAGATTAAAGGCTCCTGAAAATCATATTCCCTCACCAGCAAATATATTTTAGATAGCTGCAATGTTGAGGGTCTGCTGTTCTTCACTTAGCATGTTCAAATTGCAAATCTTTACCTGCTATGACAGAATTGCAGGTGTGAAATAACAATTTAAGCAATACAATTAAAGTATCCTGTGCCCCAAAGCCCCCAGTTCCTCAAGACATGTGAAAATCCACCGGATACTTGGCAAGAGGTTTGCATTTACAATAGCTGCAGCTTCCTGCAGTCACATACACTATTTGCAACCTTCCCAGCCAGATTCCAACAAGCTAAATTAGTGGGGAAGTGGGGAAAATTGCAAACCATGATCATGTGATATCTTGCTTAATGACTGTGTTGTTCCACTGTGGCAAAAAGATCATAAAATCAAGTGTGGTTGCATGATGCCTCTATTAATGACTGTACCACTAAACAGTGAATTTTCCAGCTACATTATGTAGATTGAGGGATTTCTGCTTGATCTTGCCACACTTCTTGCCCTATTGGATTCTCTCATCTCCCCTTCTGAATGAAGCCGCTTTGCAGGCAAGCCATCTAGGGATCTCCAATGGTCTCACCAGGTGAAGGCTTAGGATCAAGCTAAAGGCATGATGGTGCTGAACTGGTGCCTGTAGTGTTAGAACTAATAAGTTGAATCATGATAAAGAGGTGCTGTTTGGGGTATATGGTCCTTGCGCACAGTCACTCATGCCCTCATCACTTCCCGTCTGGACTACTGTAATGCTCTCTACATGGGACTCCCCTTGAAGAGCACCAGGAGGCTCCAGCTGGTCCAGAATGCGGCCATGCGGGTGATTATGGGGGTGACTCGGTGCTCCCATGTAACACTGCTCCTGCGCGAGCTGCACTGGCTCCCAATGGTCTTCCAGGTGCGATTCAAGGTGTTGGTCGCTACCTTTAAAGCGCTCCATGGCATAGGACCTGGATATTTACGAGACCGTCTTCTGCCTCCAATAGCCTCCCACCGACCAGTACGCTCCCACAGAGAGGGTCTCCTCAGGGTGCCGTCGGTTAGACAGTGTCAACTGGCGACCCCCAGGGTGAGAGCCTTCTCTGTGGGAGCATCTGCCCTCTGGAACGAGCTGCCCCCGGAGATTCGTCGGATTTCCGACCTCCATACCTTCTGCCGCGCCCTTAAAACACTATTATTCCATCAAGCAGGGTTGGCCTAAAATATTATTTTAATGGGGTATTGTGTTTTAGATGATTGGCCAAACTATCTAATAATTTTAAATTGTTTTTAACTTTTATATTGTTGCTTTTTATCTTGGCTGTACACCGCCCTGAGTCCCTTGGGAGAAGGGCAGTATAAAAATTTCATAAATAATAAATAAATAAAATAATGGTCCTCAAGAAATGTAATGTTTTTGATATGGCTATATTCCCCTAAAAAAGAAAATGTATAGCACTCATTTGTCACTGGAGCCTCAGGCACCCACTGTGTCTTGACATGTTTCTCATCCATTCAGGTTCACCAATTTCTACTATTTCTGGACAGGGTCAGCCTAAGTGCTAGTAAACTTCTCACTGGGGTATTTATGCAATGCTATCTGTTGAGCGGCCTTTGAAGATAATTGCTGCAAAATATAGATGCCAGAATTCCCTCCTGTATGTCCACATGCCAGGTCATCCATCCAGTATATAAAGGCAGCATTTGCATGGTAACATCACTGTGTATGTGTCATCAGTTCATGTCATCACAGTTTGCTACAGATGCCTGTGGCTATATTTACATATGCCACTACACTGACATAAACACAGAAGCTTGGAAACTGTATTTCCCAACTTCATTTATATTGAGCTAATTAAAATAGAGTATTTTTAAATACTGTGAAATGCTTCTTTCCAGATTTCTTTCCATCTGGGCTGAATTGCTATTTATGTGCTAAGCTCTCGACTGAGTTACCTATTCTCTCTTGATTGTTCATGCTTATGTCCTCTTCTGTTCCTTTCCTCCCACCCTAAATGTTTTTCATCAGCAAGCCTTGACTGATCTTGAAAAGCAAAGCCGGGTCGGTTTGTGCTTAAAACTTCAGCAGGGTATATAGATTCCATACTCACCCACAGCTTGATAATAAGCTAAGAATCCCTTATAGGAAACCACAATGCCGTTCTCCTCATTAGAGAAGTCAGACTGGAAGAGGAGCCGCATGCGATTGTTGGTAGACAAAAATGCCTTGTCTCTTGGGTGGTTGCCTGTGGCAGAGTCTATCTGGCCACAGAACCGGCCTAAGTCCTTCTTGTTTGCTGTGATCTGCAAGAGTCCAAGGAGAAAAGGAAGGAAACATTAGAAACCAGAGAGCTCCTTGGCCAAGTTCCATAGTATCTTCAATTAACATACATGGGACATTGAACTATAATCCTTTAAAAACAGTCCATGCAGAGAGCATCTTGCCAATTTGCATGGAAACAAGGGGAATTTAGAAAACAAATTGAGAGGCAGAAAGTTGGCGTGTTATAGAAGAAGGAAGGAAATCAATATTCCCTCTAGTAAGCATTTTCTTGCAACTAAATCTGAGCACAAATGCAAAAAAAAGTATGAGGAGAATAATAAAGAAGACAAGAAGGAAATTGTGATGCAAAGGCCAGTGAATACAGTAATATTTTACCCTTTATGGGCAGCTATACTTAGATCTCAGAGACCCTGATTCCCATCGCCACAACCCAGCCCCTCTTCACATACCTTGACAAAGTCATACTGGCAGGTCTCAGATGGCTCCAGATCAAACAGCCAGAAACTTAGCTTCACTCTGTAACCCTTTGGTACTGAAATGTCCCAGGTACTGATGTTGTTGTTGGGGTATGTTTTGGGATAATTTGGGGAAGTGATCTCCCCATAAAGCTTTGTGGTTGGCCTGGAACTGACTGCAGAAACTAAGAAAGCTCCCTGAAGCAGGAAGACAACGGGAGACCTGTCAACACAACACAACATAGGCATGAATGAGAAGACAGAGCCAAAAAACAGAGCCAACAAGGCCTCTGAAGTGGACACACCCCTCCAAACACAAACACATACATTGAAAATTGAATTGGGCAATGGGCACCTTTAAAGAAAATGCATCTTTTTCTTTTGAGACATCTTCTCAGTGTTGCATAAGTAGGACTTACAGATTACAAACCTTTTAACAGAGAAGCTTAGATTTCTAGAGCGGTGCATGCTGTATGCCCGGCCTATCCAGTCTATAATGGGACAATGGTGCTAACAGAATCACAATGTATATATACATTGTGACTAGGGCTACCAGATCTGGTTGTAAATATCCAAATGACCAATAGACAGCAGCAAATAACTTCAGAAAATTATCTCTTTGCTGCAGTGATTGTCTGAAATTTTGTAATTCAGATCCTATCCTTGTGCCTATGGACCTTCTAGTGAAAGAGGTTCTTGTAATTTCCGGTGGTAAGGTGGCATTCTGTCCTCCTGTGTTAGAACCATTCCCTTGTTGATCCAGAAGGTGGAAAGCCATTTAACACATAGCAGGATAGGGTATGGAAGCCTTGAAAACTAGCATCCTTCAGAATTGCCAGAAATAGCAAGAGCGTCAGGAACATTGTGGTCTCTGCTGCCAATTCTATGTAGACTAAACTCTCTGCAAGGATCCTAGAGATAGCAAGGAAAGGAGAAAGGCAGCAATAGTCCTTGAGTGGCTTTCAGTTTTGATTTCATCCCCTGTGAAGTAGTTGCCACTCTGATTTGTTTGCTGTTGCTCTGCAAAGCTCTTTGGACCCAAAGATCACCAAATGCTGGTGGAGGAACCTGGAGAGGAATTGCTAACTAATCCCAAATCCCCGTCTCTGGTCTACTTTGGCAATCCCTGACTTTTCAATTAAAGATGAGCTAAAAGTCTTGAAGTTGAATGAAGAAAAGCACTATGCTGTACTTGCTAACCCTGTCTGCATGAGGGGTTGCAGGGCTAAAACAAGAACAAGGCACTTTAGCAACACCTTGAGGCTGTGTTATATTCTTCTAAGGTTAAACCCAGCCCTGCAGTTCCTTCTCAGGCAGACCACAGGCATTCTGTGTCCTTGGAGATGTTTTAATATAGATATTGTAAAAGAGGAATTCCTGCATTCGTTTTAACAAGTAGGCACCTATGCCACCTCCCTTTCCCATACAAACAACACTCACATGTCCGAAGCTGGACTTAAGCTCTCTTTTCTCCCTCCAGGTCTTGTGGTCTGTTCTTGGGAGTTTCAAACAGATTTCAATAAATTGTTAACCCTGTTAGCTATGATTCACTGAGATTGGGGTAGAACATGCCGAGTGGGAGGGAAGAGAGTTAGCTGGTACTTTCCAGTCAATTAGGTAATAGTTACGGCTTTCCTAAATTGTGTTCTGCTGCCCTCTGCTGTCCACACACACACACACACACACACACACAGAGAGAGAGAGAGAGAGAGAGAGAGAGAGAAAGAGAGAGAGAGAGGGGGGGGGAGAGACTGTTTTTAATATAAATGTGTCCACTTAGAGACAGAGGGAGATACATCCATAGGTGAGTAGTTAGACAGATAGAATGATGGAGATATTGTTATTATATAGAATGGTCATCCTCAATGCACGACAGCTCCCTCAGTACCTGGATGAATCGGTTTATCTGGATCTGTTCCAATCAGGCTTCAGGCCTGGATACAGCACGGAAACGGCATTGGTCGCATTGGTTGATGATCTCTGGAGGGCTTGGGACAGGGGTTGCTCCTCTGTCCTTTTTTTTTTTTAAAAAAATTTGATTTATATGCCGCCCTTCTCCGAAGACTCAGGGCGGCTTACAATGTGCTCAGCAATAGCCTTCATCCTTTTGTATATTTATACAAAGTCAGCTTATTGCCCCCACAAACTGGGTCCTCATTTCACCTACCTTAGAAAGGATGGAAGGCTGAGTCAACCTTGAGCCTTGGCGAGATTCGAACCCTGCAGTAATTGCAGGCAGCTGGTCTTAATAAGCTTAATAACAGAGTGCCTTAAACCCCTGTAGTACCAAGGCTCTGTCCTTGTCCTATTAGACCTCTCAGCGGCTTTTGATACCATTGACCATGGTATCATGCTGCCCCGGCTGGAAGAGCTAAGGGTGGGAGGCACCGTGTTGCAGTGGTTCTCCTCCTTCCTCTCCGACCAGTTATAGTCAGTGTTGGCAGGGGAGCAGAGTTCAACCCTGAGGCCCCTTGTATGTGGGGTGCCACAAGGGTCGGTCCTCTCGCCCCTTCTGTTCAACATTTATGTGAAGCCGCTGGGTGAGATCATCCGTGGTTTCGGGGTGAAGTACCACCAGTACACTGATGACACCCAGCTGTACATCTCCACCCCGGACCACCCCAATGATGCCCTTGAAGTGATGTCCCGGTGCCTGGAGGCTGTACGGATCTGGATGGGGAGGAACAGACTCAGGCTCAACCCATCCAAGACCGAGTGGCTGTGGTTTCCGACATCCTGATATAGTCAGTTGGTGCCATCACTGACTATTGGGGGCAAGTCATTGGCCCCCACGAAGAGGGCTCGCAACTTGGGGGTCCTCCTGGAATCACAGCTGTCTTTAGAAGAGCACTTGACGGCTGTGGCCGGGAGGGCGTTTTATCAGGTTCGCCTGATTCGCCAGGTGCGTCCCTTTCTGGATTGGGACTCGTTAAATACGGTCACTCATGCCCTCGTTACTTCCTGCCTGGACTACTGCAATGCTCTCTACATGGGGCTCCCCTTGAGGAGCACCCGGAGGCTCCAGCTGGTCCAGAATGCGGCCGCTCGGGTGGTTATGGGAGTGACAGGGCGCTCCCATGTGACCCCCCTCCTGCGCGAGCTGCACTGGCGGTTGTGCAGGAGGTCTTCCGGGTGCGCTTCAAGGTTTTAGTTACCACCTTTAGAGCGCTCCATGGCTTAGGACCGGGGTATCTACGAGACCGCCTTCTGCCACCAGTAGCCTCTCACCGACCAGTACGCTCCCATAGAGAGGGGCTCCTCAGGGTGCCGTCGGCCAAACAATGTAGACTGGTGGCCCCCAGGAGGGGAGCCTTCTCTGTGGGGGCACACGCCATCTGGAACGAGCTCCCCCCAGAGATACGGAGGATCCTGGACCTGCGCGCTTTCCGCCGTGCCATCAAAACATTTCTTTTTCAGCAGGCCAGCCTGGCCTAACCTCTTTTTAAAACTTTTTAAATAACTTTTAAAATTTTAAAATTTTAAATTTGTCTTATGAATTTGGGGTGTTTTAAATTTCGTTTCCAGGCCAATTATTTAATTGTATTTTAATGGTTTTTTAACATTTGTATTATATGTATTTTATTTGGCTGTTCACCGCCCTGAGTCCTTCGGGAGTAGAGTGGTATACAAATTCAATAAATAATAATAATAATAATAATAATAATAATAATAATAATAATAATAATAATGTGATGAATAGAAAAATATTATTAGCTGTCTGATTTTTATTATAATTTTCATTGCTTTTATTGTACTTTTGTATTAAGCTATTCGGAGCTTTTGAAGGGGATTGAACAGCATATACATTGCAGTAAATGAGTAAATAAACAAATGTGTATATACACATGTAAAATTATACTCCCTGGAATTAAGCTTGGCTTTTGGGGACCACATGGACCTCTCTGTATAGTAGTTTATCTCATCCAAACACTAACTAGGTGGAGATCAACCAAGGTCAACATACACAGAGACATTCCAAAGCAGTGTTTCTTAACCTTGGCACCCTGAAGAGGCATCCTGAACTCCCAGAAGTGTCTAGCTGTAGTTGAAGTCCTCTCCATTCTTGGGGTGCCATTCTCCATTCTTCTTCAAGAATCATGGTGGCACAGTGGTTAAAATGCAGTGTTCTGCAGACTGCCGACTGATTCTGACCAGCTCAAGGTTGACTCAGCCTTTCATCCTTCTGAGGTGGGTAAAATGAGGACCCAGATTGTTGGGGGCAATATGCTGACTCTGTAAACCGCTTGCGATATATAAGTCTAAGTGCTATTGCTATTCTGGGGCATTGAAGTTCACACACCTTTAAGTTGCCAAAGTTGAGAAACACTGTTCCAAACAGGGGGAGAGAGGACAAATTTGATTAAAGAGCAATTAATAAAAAAGGCTTTCTAAAATCAGAAAATAAACCAAGACTTCTGATGTGTCATTAGACCTAATTCAACATGTCTATTATCAATGTTGATAGAAAAAAGGCAACATGCTGTATTTATGGAGAATGAAAAAATATAACATTATCTTGTCAGAGGTATATACTGTATATATTGTAGAGTAGGGGTGTCAAACTCAAGGCCCAGTCCATGGGATGCTTAGATCTGGCCCGTGGGGCCACCCTGGAAACAGCAAAGGACCATCCTGCAGTGCCAGCAAAAGCCGCGGGTGGCCCTACCGAGTTCCATTTTCACTGGCAGAGGGTTGCAAGAGGCCATCGCAGCTGAAAACAGAGCTCAGGAACCTGTTTTCACTGGCACAGCGCTCAGGCCACCACAGGCATCCCTGACACGAGTGACATTGAGGTGGCCACGCCCACCCTGACCCCCGAGGTCAAACACAACTCTGATAAGGCCCTCAATGAAATTGAATTTGACAACCCTGTTGTAGAGTCACCTTTGGCAAGATGGGTGGCATATAGGAGGAAGGAAGGAAGGAAGGAAGGAAGGAAGGAAGGAAGGAAGGAAGGAAGGAAGGAAGGAAGGAAGGAAGGAAGGAAGGAAGGAAATGATCCAATCTATATAGTGCTCAACTCACCATAACAACCTTACCAGTAATCCACTAAAACAGAAATTAACAAGCAAACATACCTTTCAGTTGTTAAAGGCATCATAATCGTGTATGTCCAGTCACACTTGACCAATAAAGAATTCTATGCTATGCTATGCTATGCTATGCTATGCTATTTTCCCAAGTTGGAGATACCTACCACTTCTTTATATATATATATGAAGTGTGTGTGTGTGTGTGTGTGTGTGTGTGTGTGTGTGTGTGTGTTCCATAGCCCAACCAGATGATATTGAGGCAAAGAAGAAACATGGAATATGCCCAGCCTGGGAAAGCATAAACCAGAGACCAGAGGCATTGCACGTAACATGAGTCTGTGGCATGTAGGGCTTTATAGATGATGATCAGCACCTTGAATAGTACACAGAACTTCACTGGAAGCCAGCACAATTGCAAAGTAAAGATGTTACATAAGTTAACAGGGTATGCCAAATACTATCCATAAAAATGGTAAATACTAGTAAGTTAACATACCAATTAAATACGAGCACACACAATAGGCATTCATTCCACCAGCTTTTCATATTACCAGCCAATTAAGGATATAATTTTTAATTTTGCCCCTTATTGCAGATTGTCAAATTGAAAGTTATGCCCATAGGTCACAGAGGTTGTTGCAAATACGGTTTACTCACTGCAAACAATAGTAATGTCATATGTAGCTTCTGGCTAAGAAACGAATCGCATAAATTATGTCTATCTGGATTGTGTTACATTAAAGAATTGTCAATTTAAAACAACTGAGTTTTATTATTCATATGTCAGCAGTTAGAATGGAAGTGAATATAACTAGTGCTTTGGGAAGGATATTAAGATTATGATTCAACTAAAATAGAAAATAATTAGCGTATGAGACTTCTAGGTTTGGGATTCCCCCTACATTTCCCATATAATCTAAGCACTCTTTTGTGGTATCTCTGCTGAATGCATTCCCTATTTAATACAATGCGAAAAGCAGAATTTCCCTTCCTTTACATTGATTCCTAGGATTTATATAATATGCAGCATTTTCAGTGCCTACAACTGGAGAGGGAGAGGAAGGGAATTGATTGGCAAGGTGAGAGGGATGACATGGAATTGTCCTTCCTGTGCTGCCCCACTCCCCACATACATGTATGGCAAGAGTTCTACAGGAGTTTATTCAACCCCCCCCCCCAAACAGGTCCTCAGAAAGCACGCCTGTTGCACAAGTCCAGATTCCAAGCTCAGTACAGCAAAAATCACTGGGTAACCGAGTCCAATGGGCACACACAAAGTTCAAGAAAGTGGTTCAGGCCAGGATACAAGGTAAAAACACACAAGGCACAGAACTGGTCATGTTGCTCCAGCAACACTGAAGTCCTCAGGGTTGGGTTAAGTAGGCAATGCTGGTGCAGCCCTTCATGAGAGGCTGTAAGTAGTCTAGCTGACCAATATTATGCCTGTGTCCTCTCTGCTCTATGTGTCCTCGGATCAGGAGGAAGTGTGGACTCCACCTCCTCCTCATTGCT